GGTCGTAAAGCTTTCTCATAGTTACAATAACTAAGTTTCTGTATTTATTGTTTTACTAAATGGTGTATTGCTCCTACCCATAATGCTCTGGGGAAAACTTTATAGCATCGCTTAAAGACTTTCCTACTCAATTTGCCGTAAAGTAACTGTAATGTCTTGAGCACTGTTGCACATGCAACCAATGCATTGGACAAGAAGTGAAAGTCATGTGACAAAGTCATCTTTGTTATATAGTTTCTAGATTCTAGATAGGCAAGGTGGTAATAGTCGCACTATGTTTCATTGTCTTACTGAAGTCTCCACCCAGATCTTGTCATTAATATAAACTATTTGTATACATTAAATTTAGGCACAATATTATGGAGAAATTGGTCTTGGTACTCCTCAACAGAAGTTCAATGTAGTCTTCGATACTGGTTCTTCCAACTTGTGGGTTCCTTCCAAGAAATGCCCAATCACTGATATTGCTTGTTGTAAGTAAAACCAATATTCTAAACTCCCACAATTCAACCTTGACTTGTGTACTGTGTTGGTATGAGGAAAAAATTGGAAATTCTTAGTTAGCAAGTGTTGAATAATTATTTTTTACCCCCAAAGTCTTATTTAAATGGGTGGGACTGAAAATGGGAAAACAAGAGTGATGCTTTGGGATTTTTTTGTCAAAAATGTTTGTACAATCATCGGTTTTCACATCCACGCCCGGCATCAACAGATTTCTTGGTTTCGTGCACCTAATTCATTAAAAAAACTATTCTATTACTACATTTGTATACTTTCCACAAAACTCCATCGGAATGACACTGGTGTTATGTACATGAAATTCTCACTAAATCTGCTGATGCTAATTCACACTCTTGAATAAATAATTATTTTTACTATCGTGTTAGTTTCTGTTTTGGCTGCATCAAAGGATGCTGGAACATCGCCTATGGTCAATCTTTTGTGGTGGGCGATATTCCAGATAAATACTGTAGTAGTGAAAAAAAAATGTTATAATACATTTCAATCTTTGTTTCAAAGGTCACCAACTTTGATTTCAAACTTGGGCTTGTTTATAGTGTGCATTATGCTATGAAATGTGTGTTGTCATGGAAATGGGTGTGCTAAAACAAAAGTTAGGTTCCATAAGCTATAATTTTTGTAAAATTTCCAAAAAACTAAGTTTGACCAAATTCAAAAGGTTTTCCCAGCATGCCTTGGGTCATGTGTACTATTGTTTTCTCCAGCAATTCTGACTAACAATATTTTCCTGTTATACTGCCAATGCTGGAAAATATTACTTTTGCGCGTGTGGCAATGACTGTAAAATACCATTGATTGATTGGTACAATGTGCTGTCCAGTTATTATTTTCATCTCCAGAATTACCAACAAGCATTTATCACATGTATCATGCACTTTCCGTGTAATAACACCCGTGTGATATTTTTGGTATTACACACTTTGAAAGTGACGTCACACTTTAAATCTGTGATGTGATTGGTCAATACAGCTAATTTCACCTAATCAGCAAAGTTAGTACTAAATTATTCAACACTTATGAGGCAAATTTTAATAACAAATTATGTAGAAATTATCAAATATTATACTTATTAGATTTTTAGATTCTATATAATCTCTGATTTTATCGCTGTTAAATAACAAAATTTTAAAAATAATTCGGGTATGATAATGTTTCATTCTCTGAACGGCAAACTAAAACTCGGACTGGAGAAAATCCAAGGGATACCAGAAAGGTGAAGCCAAAGATATGGGACGTCCCTACGAATAACTCAGTCTACGACAAGCTGGTTACGCAAATAATGACGATCCATACTAAATCGCCACGCATTCTTGCGGACCGCCCAGACCGGGTGAGCAGCCATGTAATAATCGGCAGCGCATCATTCTTTTTTTTCATAATTAATGCATATTAAGTCTAATCATTTCCAATTGTTTTTTGCAGTGTTCCACAAGAAATATGATAGTACTAAATCCAGTACATACAAAGTGAATGGTACAAAGTTTGAAATTCAGTATGGTTCTGGCAGCATGGAAGGCTTCCTCAGTGAAGATTCCATAGCAGTAAGTTATAATCATTTCAGAGCCTCCTCTCATAAATTACCTTAGCATTGAGAACATCAAAATTAAAAATTCTGGAACAAAAGGAACAGTTACATATTTTTCCTCTGGAAATGCCAATAAGTATTTGCTGTCTTTGTTTCCTGGTTTAAAAGAATATCCCATGCATTTCAATGTAAAATACAATTTATGAGTATAAATGTTTCCCTGACCAAATCTAAAGAAGCAGCCATATTGTAATTTAATCACCTTTCATCTGTAGATCAGTGATGTTGTTGCAAAGAGTCAAACATTTGCTGAAGCTACGAAAGAACCTGGTCTTGCATTTGTAGCTGCCAAGTTTGATGGAATACTGGGTATGGGTTATCCACAGATCTCTGTTGATGGGGTCGTGCCTGTAATCGACAATATGATTCAGCAACAATTAATTGAAAAACCAGTGTTTTCATTCTACCTTGACAGGTGAGACCATACAATTTATTAATTGGCAACATTCTGATGTGAGAAAGAAGGTTGATAAGAAAATGCAAATATACAATGTTTTTATCTTTTAATTTATTTGACTGAAACAAGTGTTTCTCAGATTGGTCTTGTAGTGAGACTAAAAACTTTGTACGCATTATTAACAGGAGATGAATGAAAAATAGTTATCTTAATTGTCAATTATTATTTTCATTTTATTTTGACAGGAATGTGAACGACTCTCAAGGCGGTGAGCTGTTCCTTGGTGGTTCAGATCCTAAGTATTACACTGGCAATTTTACTTATGTACCTGTCACAAGGAAAGGTTACTGGCAATTCAAGATGGATGGGTAAGAACTCTTAAAAGTATATAACTTGACATTTAAATTCATTTGTATTTTAGTACATGTGTTGACAGGAATGATTGAATACACAATAAAATAATACTCAGATCTTAACATGGTGGACTAGGCTGGGGCAGTAACTGGATTGTTATTGTAAGTAAAATTCATAATTAAAGGAAAGCAAGAAGGGTAATTTTTACTTTCATCTTCAGATTTTTAGTAAAATCTCAATTCACTATACATTTACTAATGCCAGACAATTAGGATTTAGAGACAATTACTGATCTGAAGGGTTGTTTTCAACTTTGTTGCAGTATAACCCTTGGTGGTTCAGCCTCACAGTTCTGTAAGGGTGGCTGTCAAGCTATTGCAGATACTGGTACTTCTTTGATAGCTGGACCAACTGAAGAAGTTCAAGCCATCAACAAAGCTATTGGAGCTACCCCAATAGTTTCTGGAGAGGTAATTTACATATGATTATGTTATAACACTCACAAATCTGTTTCCAGTCTTCTCGGGCTAGTAGACATTTAAAACTAACAAGTCATGCCAAGTATTTTAATCGGTTGAAGTACATCAACTCTAATAAAACCAATTTGCATCAGGATTTATTCTTTTTTTTCCCCCCTCAGTATATGGTCAACTGCAATAAAATTGACTCGCTACCTGACATTACATTTGTGTTGAACAATAAACCATTCATTCTGAAAGGAAGAGACTATATCATGCAGGTAAGGTTTCATATCTGATTTGTTTAGCTCCGCTGTTGACTTCGTCGAGCGAAGCTTATCATACGAGTGACTGTCCTCCGGCATCCGTGTCAACTTCTTGAAAACTACAAGCCTGAATGATTTGATACTTGGTGTGTATGTCCCTTGGGTAGACCTCTTATAGAAAAACCACAAGTCCAATTGCTTTGATATTACATATATAGGGTACTACATGTGGACCTCTCTCAGATTTGTTCATTTCGTGATGATATCTTCAATTATCTCATTTTGATGAATATTATTGGTAAAAAGTGATATTTTTGATTTCTTGTTGAAAACAGCAAGTCCGATTGCTTTGATACTATACATATTGTTCATTTTCGTATGATATCTTCAGTTTTTAGTTGAAATGTGCATTGCTATCTCAGCCGCAGACTGCTTGTTTTACTTGATATATAGCACAATTTTTTCAATAGTGACTTATGACAGTGCATGCATGTGTGAGTATACTGACAATAATGACGGGTTGACCATGGTATAGTGGCCTTTAGTGGAGTTGATGATATAGTAGTGATATTTATATTGTTGGGATGGCTGTACTGAAGTTAAATTTCATTTGATCTTTATAAAAAAGTGTTTGAAATTTGTGTGTGAAAAAAACATAGCCATCGTAAATTGTGCACATTTGAAAGTAATGCTATTATAACTACAGTACATTTGTATTTGTAATACATTTGCCTATCAGTGTCTTATAATTTCCCTCTGTTGATTTATTCTCTATTTTGATAAAATGTGGTATGTTTTACCTACATTATAAATATGGTTAACTTTTAATACCTTGCACCACATCATTTACCCAAATACATTTGTTGGTGTTGCCTTATTAATGATTTAATTTTGTAACTGTACATGGTATATGCATGTTTGATAGCCATTGTCTTCTACTTGCAGGTATCTCAATCTGGTGTGACATTATGTTTGAGTGGTTTTATGGGTATGGACATTCCACCTCCTATGGGTCCCATCTGGATTCTTGGTGATGTCTTCATTGGAAGATTTTATACAGAATTTGATCGTGGCAATGATAGAGTTGGTTTTGCCACTGCTGTATAAACTCTGCTTAATCATTGTCTTTTCATATTCAGTTTACCGTCTCAAAACCCAATTGTTAAGTTTCTTTAAAGTCTATTTACCAATAAATATTGGAGCAAGGACATTTTCACTTCCTTGAACAACTCCTAATAATTTTTTTTTTCTTCATGCAAGTCATTTATTAAAAAAATAATTATTGCAAATTCTTAACTGTGTTGTTGTATCATATACCCGGTAATCATGCTTTCAGTATCTGAGTCGTATAAAAGAATCTGTTTAGTTTGTATTATGACAACTATAATATTGTCCTAAAAAATTACAATGATTTTGATAAATGGTGAAGTGTATACATTTTAAAATAATTGAAAGATATGATTTATAATATTACCTATGCTGGTGAATAATGATTTGCTTTCATTGTTTATATAAATGGGATAAAGATATGGATACTTTAAAGCTATGCAATTTTTGTTGTATTGGATGTAATTGTTTTAAGGAGAAGAAATATCTCTGAACCACCATGTAGTTTAATGTCGTGCAGTGTCGTGTGGTATGCATTGAATTATTCCTAAGAAAATGATGCGTTCAACATTTGCATAAATTAATGCACTTTCATGGTGCATTTCAGCCGAAATGTTCAATTTTGTCAGTTTTTCAAGGTAGAACTAATAATCACACTTTTAAATCGTGCTTGTGTGATTTACAGGCTGTTGTATTCGATAAATGCCTTCAAGCGGGAGTTTCCAATAATAAACCTGTGCCAGCACATAGGGTCACGTTGTCCTATTTCAGAGTCTGTCCTTTAAGTCATTGTCAGTAAATTTAAATAGGACTTTAAACTACTACATTTTTGAGAGTTTGTCGTGATAATTGGTTTATGTATTGTGTAAATCATGGAGCTATTTTATGTGCGTCGGACTTGTTTTGAAAAGCTTGTCCCAATATTTTTTGCAAAAATAATTATTAAAAAAATTCCATGGGATTTCATTTTTTAATGCTTTAAAATCTTGATTTATGAAATAATTCAGAACAAAAAGTACTACTGTTACATCATTCTCAATTTATGATTTTTTTTGCAATTTGACATGAGGCACATCTGCCATGGGAACATACGGTAAGAGTTATAATACTAACAAAATGGCCACTATCCACTTGAATACAATGGTTTTCTTGGTTGAGTCTGATGTAAATTTATCGCATTGATTAAAATGCAAGATTTCATTTTTTTTTACTCCATGGAAAATAGTCGAATAATTCGGACGGTAGGAAACTCAATACGAAATCTCTCGGGTGGGCATTATTTCTACAAGTGAGATGGTTTTGGGGCATTCAATTACAAGATGGTACCATTAAAAAAAATGCATTATATTAGGATGTTTTTTATTGATCACAAAGTTTGCGTATTATCAGCTGCTATTGCCAGTTTATTTGACACTCTCCCAAATTTCAATGTAAAGGCTTTGACCCCGCCACGTTTGATATACATGGTATAGGCACAAAATTGATATTTTACTTTAGAACTGATGTATATCTAGCACTTTGTTTACTAAGTAAAGTTCAAATGCAAGAGAATTTCTTTAATGTACAATATACATACACAATTTTCTTTCTGATACTATATTAAATTCTAAAAATTGCTTAACAATTTCTCATGACAGCACAGCATTTACATGGTCATAAAATACATCAACTCTCCTGGGATATTACCTTGCATCATAGAAACTGGATTCTCATCTAAAAAACGAAACAACTTAATTACTGGCCATGCACACTATTTTGAATGTCCCATAACAATGATAAAATATAGTCAGATGAAAGCTTTCTGTTCAGTTGAGTTGAATTGAATTGCAATTAAGTCTCCGCCTAAATATTCCCAATCACTATAATGTATGAAGTTCAGCAATTAAATATCAGATGACGTCATTTTACTTCGCACTTGCTTTGAGTTAATCGCCTGGGAAATTGCAATTCAGATGACAAGATATGTTGGTTAAAAACGAAAGAACAGTATAAACGGAGAGAGTCCACAGAGGGCAGTATGCAGTTAAATTGGACCATTTTTAAAAATAAAACTGATATATATTTATATATATTCATAAATCCACAGTGAGTAGTGCAAACTGCATTGCATATATTAAAATCGTAGAGTATGTAAAATGACGCCATTTAACTGGTATACTGTAGAATATTATTCTGATTTTATGTTGGCAAACCCAACTCTGTCTTTTCCCCTGTCAAACTCCACGTAATATTTGCGGGTAAACACAGCTCCTAAGATCCAAATAGGACCTATTCCATTTCCATGTCCAACAAGATTACTCAGGCAGATTTCAGAGTCTCCAGTGTTGTCCTGTGAATGAAAGAACATCGTAAACTTCAAATAATCAAACGTTATAAATGGGAAAGAGTAGTTTGAGAAATGCACCGAGTACTGCATCGTCCGAATCGCACGGTTTCGCTAAAGCCGGCCATTCATAATCGGCCCACGAACGTTAATGTTGAGGCTTCGGCCGAATAAATATTCCTTGGCTGGCGAAGATGTAAGTACTGATGTCCTGCGTAATTTAGATTGGGACTTCGTGTATTCGGTGACAAACCCGACTATTTTATGGTCTTCTGTTCGTATTCCGTTGATTGGACATTTTTGTTGTGATGGTCAACATATTTCCACCTTTGCATAATAATTCAGTGTGCATGTATCGGGTATATTTCAACCAATAACTCTTACTTGTTCAATGTAGTCACGTGGTTCCAATGCGAATAGTTTACCGCCCAATACAAAACTAATGTCAGGCAGTGAGTCGACAAGGTGACAATTTATCACAAACTGAAACCAATCATAGTATACTTGATTCAATCTTGACAATCAATTCAAACATGTGTGTGTAAAATGAATGTGTAAAAATGCATGAACATAAATTCAAATACCGTGCAATCACTAAATTGGACTTCTAATTTACTAGTAACTAAAGATAAAAAGTTAAATGTACAATTTGATTATGCTACCCCTTCATGGAGATGAGTGCTTGTGCATCGTACGTATACAACTGATATTATAATTGCATGTCAAAAGATTCTGACAAACACATTATGTGAGTTTATATACATTACAAACCATTACACTAGTAATACCTACTTGATTGTTTTCATATTGCACTGCACCAATCTCCGTGTTCAGTGTTTCTATGTCCTCCATTGGGCCCGCTATGACTGATGTACCGGTATCTACAACAGCCTGACAACCATCTAAGCAATACTGTGATGGTTTATCATAGACATGAATGCTGTTGATGAGAGTTATGATCTACGGTTATCCTTCATTGTGGGCAATCAGATCGAATGGTTAAAGTAAGTACAATTGGAATCATGTTAATTTAACGAGTGACTTCCGCATTTTCAAATATTCGCTATCAATCAATAACTCACAGAATATTGAATAACGGAATTGGTACAAAAAATAACGTAAATTATAATCCTTTACCCACCTGTCCATTGTAAACTGCCAGTAACCTTTGATGGTGACAGGTAAATATGTGAACTCTCCCGAGTAGTGATGCTGGTCCGAACCACCAAGGATTAGCTCTCCTTTATTTCCATCCCTACAAATACATAATACACGAGAATAGTGTGCACGCGTTTTCATTATTTCTGTACATTTTCAAAATATTAGTTTAAAATCACAAATATTACAGTATCCCATCAGTTCGCACTGTGTTCAAGACTGTTAGTGTTTTTTTTTATGAATGTCCAATTGGTTATCATCAGGACGTACATAGCACACTAGTGAACTTTCCAAACGATTACACTATGATTACAAGAGAACACCAGAACACGCGTAAATCGATGATGACAACCGTGAAAACTTACCCACGCACGTAAACTGAAAAGACTGGTTCACTAATCAAGTGTTGGGCAAGCATGTTGTCGAATACTGGTAGAATGGATCGAGTTTGCAAGTTAGGATACCCCAATCCTAAAATCCCATCAAATCTGGCGAGAACAATTGAAGTGTCCGGCCAGGCAGTGGTCTCGCCAAAAAGTTGGTTCTCTATTCGTACATCTCCGATCTATAGTAGATTTGAATAACATACTCAACTAGCCTAGCATACCATGTGAAAAGTCATAGTATTCGTATGCAGACATGTCACAATTAGTAGATTAATAATCGATCAATATCGTTATATTGATGAAATATATATATTTCTGAGTGAATTCTAATAAGTTAAAGGATAAAGGTAGGACGAGAACATATATGTTTGAGTACTGTATGTTAGTGAATATGTTGCATTATGATTTACCATGTACCATGTTCTTTCATCACCAATTAGAATGCAAATATCCACCGATTGTATTGGTACATACAGTCACTGCACGCGTAAGAATATTTTTTTTGCATTTTTTATCGAACGAATGCTGTACAATGTGCTGCAAAAGCAACATTTTTAATAAGTCCCCGTTCGGACGCAGTCCGAAAACGGGGACTTAATTTTTTACCTCCGTGCGTGCGTCCGGACCTGTATCTTAGAAATGCCTGGACCAATCACAATCAAACACATGTATCATACATGATATTATACATATGCACATCATTTTGTTTTCAGATAAGATCCAAAATGGCTGACTGGCGTCCATTTTGTTTTAATAAATGTGGTTCTAGTGCCATATCATTGACTTGCTGTAACTGATTATGTTCAAATTTTAAATATTCATTGTACATCATGTCATAGATATACAGATATATTGGTTTGACGATCCTATTAAAAATGGCCGAATGGTGGCCATTTTTGTGCTGAAAAATCATCAAATATCAAGCATTTCTGTCATTATTGGATGGATTTCGTTCAAACTTGGTACATACATTGGACATTACGAGTTCCTGGTGCACATTATTTTATTTTTTAGATCAGATTCAGAATGGCCGGCTAGTGGCCATTTTGTTTTAATGAATGGGCTTCTAGAGCCATATCTCTGACATGCTTTGACTGACTATGTTCAAATTTTATATATTCATTATACATGTATTCAAAATGGCTGATTTTGTTTTAATTAATGCTGTTCCAGAGCAATATTTCTCAATACTCGTTTGACGATCAGATACAAATGTCAATCATTTAAATGTTAAACAATCATCATAATCATATTCCTGACATGTTTATTTTCAGCTATATTACTATAAACAAAACAATATATCTTAAATTCGATAACTAACGGGGACTGTACCATGCATGGCTTGCTTATGATAATTTTAAAATCATAATCCAATTTGATCACCAACATGCAGTAGCAAACAGTATTACAAATATATATTTTCGTTCGTGTGCCATATTTAAACCAACTGCGCATATACAACAAGATATAATTGGGTAAGTACATTTGATATTGTTACTCGTAACTAGCGATGTTGTGTTCATAATTGAAATACGGTAAGTAGACTACATTCGGCATATGTACTTACTACAATCGTGTCCCGACTAATAACGCCAGAAACAGAACCCGAACCATATGTAATGTTGAAAGATTCTCTTGTTGCTGTATACGTGCTAGACTTCAGGTTATCATACGAATTATGAAATGCTCCATGGGAAAAGAAATACAGAATGAAGCATAATCCTGTTACGTCGACCTAATTTTTGATATAATACAATTTCCAGTATTGCAACCCATGAGATGTAACAATGGTGATGATAAACAGGGATTGCGTTAGCATGTTTGTGTAGTATGTCTCGATGTGAAATTGAAGATGATTTCACAATATATGCTGTGTGCCTGAATTATGAATGGGACTCCTCTTGTAATAAAATGGCTTCACCAATCTTTGATGGTAAATAACAAACGTTATGGAATCATTTAATGTGTCCATGTTTTATTTCGTCATCTGACAATATAAGTGAGATACGTTACCCTATTACTGAGACAATCCGACACATCTTACCACATGCCATATTCGATTCTGGACACATTGCTGACGGCACCCATAAATAAGATGACCCGGTGTCAAATAGCACAAGAAAAGTTGCCGGCGGTGTTCCGATACCAATCTCCCCATAATATGATGCCTGTTAAACGAGATTGGAGTGCAGATGATGCAAGTTACCAAAAAAACTAACATATTGTATTTTAACGAATGTCCTAGACACTAAAACACTCCATATATGCAATTCATTGTAATCATGTCATGGACAATATTTTACAAAAGGTATAGACTATGTAATTTCATTTTAACTTACGTCAATATATGTGTTCGTCTGACCGGAAATAGGGTGAATAATTCTAAGAGGTCGATTGTTCAGGTTCCTGGCATCGGTTTCTTGGCGACGAACACTTTGAAACTTGTGAAGTGTAATTCTAAGTAATGAAGAGAATACTTGAACTAAGAATAACATCTTAACACGTTTACTGGGTGATGTGCAATTTCTAGTTACATACGAACAGTTGTTTATGTTATATCGTTTGACTATAATGTTTTGCATCTGGCTGTAAAAATAATGCGACCATCACAAATGTTTTCTGTTGAAAATAATTAATATGTCCAAAAATATATATAAAAAAAATTTGAGTTATTCAATGGCTCTTCATCGATATAATCTGAACAGAATGCCATTGCTCGAATCGAATCTTAATGAGGACTACGATTATCAGCTAACAATTCTTAATGTTTTCAAAACGACTGGGATTTGTTAAGAAAACGACAGGCACTTTCATCTAATTAAATTCACATATATATTAACAGATATATTGTTAATCGTGTAGTGATAATGTCATGGATTACGCGATATAACTTAAGGTGACGTCACACCTAAATCTAGTTACCTCTGTAAAGCGCAGGTCAATGACACAAAACATAAGATAGCCGCCAGTATTTTCATCATTGTGTCAATTATGGCACAAATAGTACTCTCTAATAAAACTGCAGTCAGCATATGGCAGTATGACGTCACTAGTCGCGCCACAGCCTGTTGGAATCGTTGTTAACTTTGTGTTATGACCAAATTGAAAATTAAATTCATGAATATAGTTCGTGTATAAATATGGGGATAATATAGATTTTACTTCCAAAGTATAAAATATTTACAAAATAGAATGAAGGACAACATTAGTATTATAAAAATCAAAACACACCTTATCTGAGAAAAAGATAATAGTAAAACGTTAGTTAAAAAATAGGTTCCAAATATAGAATAAATGAATAAACCCTGGACACAAGGATTAGTTGGATTAAAACCATGACAACGTGTTTATAACAAATTGAATGTGCATTTTAAACATGCGACACACGTTATAGGTCACAACATTGTCGCATGTTTGCACAATTAGCATCACGTGAAATTTCAGAATAAGTTATGTTGGGGATTACTCATTTGGGTTTCGGGTGGGATACTCCGAAGCCAGTTAAAAACTGGACCCAAAAGGATCGAGGTTAGGGGCGCTTTTTGCTCAAAAATTGGCGGTTTTGCCTAAAAATTTCCTAAAACGGCCGAAAACTTTACAATTGGGATAAAAAAGATTGGCTTGACCGTGAAAATGAGGGTCAAAACAGCAGCGTATATCCATATACTTCAACTATGTGAGTATACTATGTATACAACATGTTATATACTAAAATTGTGTAATCTGCTGGACATTGCTGAGACATGACGATCTCGGCAACATTCGGCCACGATGTACCAGTTTTGTCCTGTTTTTTTTTTTTAAATGCAAACTTATAAATATGCAGTACTTATATGAGGAATGTTCAACTTTTCCACGACCACCCTCTGATTCATTGTCAGTTTTGTGTTAGAAAGACCCACCACATGATAGTATGCCATATACTAATTTATTATAAAGTAGACTGAATATTTATAGAACAAAAGTTAAACAGACAAGATGTAAACTGTATTCCTCTGCATCTGTGGATATCTTTCATATTAGAATATCATACTATTAGTCTGCACTTCCCCTTTAACATTAAATCAAATATAAACAGTTTGACATAAAGTTGTGACACTGAAATGATAAATGAACTTATCGTTTTGTATCATACTGACATGCAACCCTGTGAGGTCATGTTGGTGTTACTCAGTAGCCTCAAGCATTCATGTGTTTGTATATAGCTTAATGTACTATGATCCCCGACCACTTAAATACTAGTACTGTCCTGACATGTATTGTAATTTACATACTTGACTTGTGAAATTTACAAAATGCTGACTATGTGACCCTTTGTTCTGATCATTGATACAAATAACAATGTATGTGTAATGACAGACAGAATGACAGGCCACTCCATCCCTCATTGATCACCTGCTTAGCTGAGCGGTGCTACTTACGTTCTTCCTAAACTATGGACTCAAAAATATATTTTCCAAGATAGGAGTGCAAACTCACAGCATCAACTAATGACTGAGCTACATGTATTGCTATTGCTTATGGAGGTTCTGGGAAAATAAAAGGAATTAAAGGTATCATTTCAATGTCAAGTGGAATGAATTGGATTATTCATGACAAATGACAAAGTGAACAATACATCTTTTGTACTTGTGTAAATTACCACACACCCTGCGTGTGCATTAGCAATGCAACGGGTTGTTGATTTGAATCTTTCAATTTCATTGTTATTTTCGTGGCATAATTAAGAAACACTCACTCAAAAGAGACTTTTAAATCACAAGAGCATAACATTTCCCAATGTATCCACTTAAGATCTGTTTGCGCTTATTATGCGCAAGATTGCCTTTAGAGACTACCCCCCCTGTCTGCAAATATTGTTTTGTACCATTTGCCAATTAGTACGTAATGAAGTGTTATATTACAATGACATACATAGTTTGTTATCATGAATGGGCCAAACAAATAATAACATTTGTACATGTCATTTACATATATAAGCAAATCAAAGGAGAGTTTACATTCAACAACCATTTTATTATACAACTAAAGGTGATAAAAGTACAGAATTGGTAATATACAGTAAAGAACCATTAAAATAGATTAGAAAAGATTTTATACTCGGTGATAAATTTTAAATATTTTCCAAGAAGTGGTAAAACAATGTGCACGTAAACAAACAAACAATAGCTGATTGAGAAACATAATACTTCTCTAGATGCAACAAATTAATGATACATTTGGAGCAGCTCATTTGTGATTCCGAATTAAACATTCATACACATACACATTCATACACATACCGTATTAATACACCATTTTGTTGCTATAGAAAAATGAATAAAAAATATAACTTAGTATTTTCAATATAAAAAAAGAAAAAAAAACCAAAATAGCAAGAACATTAAAATAATGTCAGATGTAAAAAGAGTATTACACATCACAATATCTAGAAAAGTTCAAATGGATGATACAAGTCAGAGATATGTTTTCAGCCTCACAAAACCTGAATGATTACCATATTTATATTCATAATTAGGTATTCATGTAAAAGGTCATGAAATAACGGAAAAACATTGCAGGTAAATCAATTAGTCATTGAAGATTTCTCAATATGAATGTTTTTTTGAATATTTGAATGGATATACAAATTAAAAATTGGTGAATTTTGATAAAGAATGTACCGGTAGTGTGATAATGAGGTAAATCGAAAGGCATAATCATGTCACTGCTTAATTTTGTTCTTGGAAAGCATTTCAAACTTCTTCCTATACTTTAACTGAACTTATTAAACTTAATTTGAATTTTTTGAAACAAGATTGATATCAAATCAGCCATTTGTGGGCCAACTCGTCACAAATTTTTACCAAATAAAAACACATCAAACAAGAATATATCAGGGATAATATTATTGCTTCCAGTACAGAAAATGCGATGCACAACTTCAGCATTAGAAAAAAACAATTGTGAAATCAATATTGTGGACCAGAATATTCAACTACTGGTCCAAACAATGACTATTCATGATTACCTATCTAAAGCAATAGACTCATTTACAAATAAAATCCTCTGTTTTCTTCACAAATACACATGTATGAAGAAACTAAACACTATCATCAGTACAAACAAATACAATCTGAGAAAAGCTAATACAAAAATATCCATTTCATTCTAAAACTCAATAAATTTTCAGTAATTAATAATTACCTACTTTTAATTTGGGTTCCACTATGTTTTTCAAACAATATATCAATGCAGAAGCAACCTGTCAACTTAGCTTAAATACAAGAATACTTCAATTTCTTTCTAGCAGCGTTCATGTTCAGTTACCTGCGAATCAATTGTGCTTAGCTTCTTATTTGAAACAAACTTAAAAATCAAATTTCTCAGTCTTGCATTGATATACATGTATGACTTACAGAAAATATTAAACACCAAATTATATGCATTTTAACAAATATTCTGTTTATGGGGAAATAAAGAGAAGAACATTAAAGAAAACAGTACTTTAAAAAAACTGATTACAAATGCATGTTATGATTTGATCCATCATTCCTTGATATTTAAACATATTTTCCTTCTTTCCTGACTTCACAGAAGAGAGCCAGAGAAAAGATCAATCCCAATAACTGTAGAAAAATAAAAACAAGAAGCACATCAAGTTAATATTCTTTCAATAAATTAATATACTGTATTTGCTCTGTTTGTATCACATGTGTAAATAAAATACGTGTGTGATGTATTATAATTATCCAATATACAATACACTTCTATTAGAGCAAATACAGCATACACCCTTCAAGTTCTAAGGTTGCTTAATTTCCTAACATATGGTTATGTTAAAAATGATAAGCAACTGTCCATCCTGGGCTGGCTTCATCACATCTACATTGCTTTTATTTTAAACACAACTATATGAAGGAAATTAAACGACCTTGATCTTTGCCTGTCACTCTAGGAAGCTAGTTGTAACATTACTTAGTTTCAATCTATGTAACAGAACAGGACGATAGCAAATGTAATTCCAATCAACTGAAAACAAGAACAGGAACACAACATGTTAGACACACATAAACACATGTACACTATCTCAGAGGCTGACATAATATTTTAAACAGATTAGAACATGTGTGTACAACATGTGATATTCTTCATTTTATATGAAAATGTTTTAATTGCCAAACATATATCTGTGAATTTTAAGACAGGACAACTGTAACTTTTAGTAGACATTTTTAAATTTAAGCCATTCGTACATATATTATAAAATTAAAAACTTATTAGATGGTGAAAACAGATTACACAGATTAGTCTCTGCATATTCCTTGATATTTACAAGGTAGTTATAGATGAATAGTATTAAAATGAAGAGTCCAGAGATAGTGTACATAAAACACAGCACACACAAAGTCAGACAAGACAATTACTGAAGAATTGAGCATCTTAATGTGAATATTAATTAGTATATAAATGATTAGACTGGAAGCTTATCTCTATAACCAAATCAGAAATCTGGAATGCATAGCAGTGCAAGGTGTCACGTGAGTGCATGGCTGTAGTCATCACAAGAAATTGTGCTTTATCTTAGATTCAAATTGTTTTCCACTTATTTATCATTATTTTGACACACAATCATCCACAGATCCAAATCCTACTCCATTGATGGTGATATGCTAATGTGTAGCGAAAATATCTAGTGCAAGGTAAAAATAATTGCTACAACTTTGCAATACATATGCATTATGGGATACCATTTTATATTGTGTGTTAGTTTGTTAAATTATGTGGATTTCTGCTTTTGATTAGCACAACACAAACTGATCAAACCTGACAAGTGACTGGATCATTTCTGGACACCTTCACTATTTTATTTAAATCACACCACATAATGAATTGTTACTTTGTAGCAATGTGGAGAACACATTAAAGAGCTAAGGTTTGTAATAACAATACAAAAACCAAAGTTTGAATATTGAAGTCCCTTATTAGACGCCCTTTTTAATGGTATCTTGTTTAAATCATACGAGTTGTTAACAGCAAGTAAATGCACATGTTTGCAGTGAAATAGCAAAATCTTGTGGTAACCTACTGTGGTAACCTACATGGGGTATAACTACATTGTATATGAAAACCTGAGCAATTAACATGACAAAGTGTATTTACTATAAAACATTTAATTTTACTAGTATTTAATTTCATTATTTTGATATTTCAGCAAATACATTATATTTTAAATTCACAGACTTTTGAGTGAATCAATGAGTACTATTGTAATCTTATTTCAGAAAACCAGTTATTTACTAATAACACAAGCTGTAGTGTTGACATTTCATGAGACACATTAGGGACGACATCAAAAGATCGATGTCAGATAAAAAACTTATTTGCTTTAGTTTGGGGGTGGGGGAGGGTTTGACCTAAAAAAGTTTGCATCCTACAAAAACGATTTTATTTTTTAATGAAGTCTTGGAGTATTCGTAGTTCGTTTTTTTTTTTTATCCAATCACAGACAAAAATAACAGAAAATTAAAGCCGCAAGCAGCGTCACCGGGGCCCAAGCTATCGGACGAATTTCATCATTAAAGTGGTCACCGAATTGCCATTAAGGTACTTTGAATGATTTGTACCTTGAGGTTGATGTGCCTTCTATTTA